ACTGAAGAAAATGTCGTAGTTTCGCTGAAAATCGTTTCTATTCCCCACTTCCTCACTAGATCTCCTATTCTTTTAGAGAGAATGCACAAGAAGAAAGACAAAACATGGGAAAAGGTCCTCATATCTCTCCTTACGTATTCACCATTCAAGAAAGCATTCTGTATTAGTCTAATGCTATTTTCAATCAAACAAATGGGATAATTATTCTCAAGAAATATTACTTTAAGTTGATCCAGTTCATTATCCCAATGGCCTTTATCGGCTAATCTTATGCTCCGTATAATCAAAGATTTTGAAACTCCAACCTTTATTTTATAACTATGGTTGGAGAAGAAATTAAGAATAAAACAAGCATGCGTTGGCTTTCTAGATACATCCCTGTTTAACTTCTCACCTTCTCTGTTCACTAGGCTATCCAGAAAAGGAAAATTACTGTCATTCTTTATCTCCATTGTTAACTTAACATTTCAATAAATCTAGCTTGTTGAGAATAAGAAATTATTCAAACTATCCTTACATTGCTGCCATGTGGCAAGTAGTTCTGGTGTCAATCTTAACTATTCCATGCAGCGTTTCTCCATCCCTGATAAGAAATTATTCGCTAAACTGGTAGCTAAACAAGATCCCATTGCCCTGCACCTGTTCATAAACCTTATCATTAAAGATAAACAATGTACTACTTATGAATATATTGAGTAGCCTTAAGATTGAGCTTTTTCTCAGATTTGCTTCCTCAATACTTTCTGGGTGTGCATCCAGTCTGAGCGCTATTGTTTCAATAGCCTTCTGAACTGAGATGTTAATATACATTGCTAAACATCGAAACTCACCGAAAGATCTTCCTCTCTAATACTCTGTTGCTCTATCAATCTAAATATTCATATGAACTCTTCACTGAATATTTCCAATACTCACCCACTTTCCTTAAGTGTCTGCATTAAAGGAACTCTCTCCTTGTTTATCTTTGGAGCCGTAAGTTCAAGTTGCCTAAGCGTCCCTTTAAAAAAGTGGATTCATTTTCCACTTCTCAATTTATCTCTTGCTTACACAAATGTTAGGTGATTCGATAAGTCTGGTCTTGTGACTCTCTGTGCGATCCTTCACTAAAAGTTTGTATGCTTCTGATTCATTTGAATGAGACATCATTTTTTTCTATTTGACTACTGCATCATCTTTATCTTGTTCAAAACAAACAGACCATTACACTAAATACGTTTGCTCGAAATGGAAGCAAGCTCAACAATTCTAAGACAAGGGAGTCCTCGAAGCCCAACTTTTCTTCGCATAGCTTCGACATTTACTAGTTTTATGGTAACTTCTAAGCCCCAAAAGTTTTTTGCCTTTTATATAAATCAGTAGTAGATCGGGTTTGATGGAAAATACGCGGTTAGCCATCATTACGAAATTACTCACAATTGCGAGGCCTCTGTCTTAAAAGTCATGCCTGGCATGTAACCCATTCTGGTTGGGGTCATACAATCATTCAGTTCATCGTAAGCAGACGGAATATTCATCTAGTGAAAAAAAACAGCCGAATTTGATACATTCATACCAAAAGTCAGATTCTTGATAGCCTTAGAAAAAAACTGTCACTAGCTTCAACATTTGCTAACTCACTGAAATCTCGAGCATAGCAGGTCAGCTTCTACTATTTCTGTGCTAAATCATGTCCAATAAAATGTATAATACCGGGTTTTATCTCACATGAGGAAAAAAGGTCTGCATCGTGGGAAATAGCGCACTTGATGGGCTCCTTTGATGCAAGGTTAAGGAGTACGGCTCAACTTCATTCGCGGTCCGGTCCCAGCCATCATCTTCCTCGTCTGGTTTATTCTGTGGCGTTTTACTCTCCATCTTTCTATCCTTACCCGCCACCGTTTCGCCGATCCATTCTACCTCTTGTTTTGCAGACACCTTCCTCTCTTTCCCCTCCTTCGAGCTGGTTCTCGATCCCCTCACAGACTCCTTCTTCAACGTCACAGCACTCTTCGGCTCTACCTGAGCTCGACTCATCGGAAGTCCAAATGTTTGCGCCACACCATCGCCTCTTTGCATCCCTTCACGGCAGTTCTCGTGGCTTTTCGTCTCCAGTTCGTTGGCCGACTCAACTGAGGACCGAGACTCGCCAGCAGCCCGGCGGAAGGTGGCCGACGAGATTGCCTCCGCGAGGATGCAGGTAATGTCACGGGTCGTCTGGTTGGAAAGAATGGTGGAGGCTTCAAAAGGTGGATGCAGGTGGGCGAAGACATGTGTTTGCGTGTGCATGCTGGTCCACGCCTAGTGTGGACGAATGGGAATAGGCAGACTGAGTTTATAATAGAAACTTAGTCAGTCTGGCTCCGCTAAGGCCAAATTAAGAAAGGATAATGTTGGTACGACCTCGTTTGCGCAACTTGGTCGGAGAGTCAGCGAGAACTTGTGGAATGTATCTAGTCCTGTGTCTTCTTCCCTAGTATTCGCAATTTCCAGCACCGGATCATTAACTTGGTACATTCCAAAACTTTTCGCCGGCACAGATTTACAACCTATCAAATTGATAAGTGAACGCAATCCTATTGACCAATTTTCTGCTCAACCGTTGACGAAACCTACTACGATGCATGCGAAACGTTTGGAAATGTACCAAGTCTGACTGACGCTCCAACCAATTTGCGAAAACGAGGTCGAAACAACGCTATAAAACTAAAGGAGACGGCAACTAAATGGAAGGTCACATCATCTTGGTCTTCCTATCTCCCATACAAAAGACTATCTGATTCCGGCTGAAGTGGACTGCCGCTTCGATCTTGCCTCACTGAAATTGACAGCAAACCAAACGAGATTAGGCACCGAGTTATAGGTATCCTAGCGACGTTTTTACTCCGCCTCGCCGGCACGGGGTGAATGTAGCAATCAAGTAGTCAGGCCTATATGGTGGGAGTGCTGGCAAGCATGTTTTGGTATACTCGAAGAGTAACTGGGTTTCGGTGACTATCTAAAATAACAATATTGAGGAGATTCAAAGGTCGATCTCACCAGAAGTCGACGGCTGATTCGCAATGTTATTTAGCCATTTGGCTCAAATACGAAGTTCAGGCTCACGCAATCCACGGGACATCCTCCTCGTTTCGGCTGAAAACTGGCTGAACTTTAGACCATCATATAACGAACAACATGAGAGCCGGAATTCATTTTTGTAAAAGGTTTAGGTTAACACTAAATCAAGAGGACTGTCCGGCCCTATCCTACATGTTATATATATGCATATATATATGTATATATATATATATATATATATA